CCACCGCCACCACCACATGGGAGCGGCCCCCGAGGAGCCCCTCAGCACGACTTCTCCCTGGGCCGCCCACTGTCTTCCCGGACTACACCTTCACTGGGACCCGAGGAGATGCTGAGCGGCAGAGACTCTCTCCCCACTACCCCAGGGCTGAGCCACCCACCACTGCCACTGCCCCCGGGGTACCCCTCCGCCCCTGGTTATCCCACCTTTCTGCCTGAGCAGCTGCCACCTGGCACGCTCCAGTACCAAGGTGAGTCTGGGTGCTTCAGCGGCAGGGGGCGGCGCACCCTGGCTGGCGGGGGCGAAATGGTGCTTACTCCTTCCTGTACGCCTCTAGAGCTGATGCCGCCGGGGAGCTGCCTGCCTGAGGAGACCAAGCCCAAGAGGGGACGCCGGTCATGGCCTAGGAAAAGAACAGCCACACACACCTGCGACTATGCGGGCTGCGGCAAAACCTACACAAAGAGCTCTCATCTCAAGGCTCATCTGAGAACCCACACAGGTTAGTCGCAGCGCTGCGTCAGTGAGATGCCTCAGCCTGAGGGGTCCGAGAGGAGCACCTCAGACCTCAAAAAGAAGGGTACACAGAAGGAGGGCTCAAAGTAGCGAGTCCTGACCCTTCTCTGCTGGGTTTCTGGGCTTTTTTTCTTCCCCTCTTGGGTACATGAAGTCCTGTGCAATCTTTGCTTACTGGCTTGGCATTTTGCTTAATAGTTCAGAACGACTCAGATGTGGGAGCGGGTGGGTTTCTTGCCAAGGCAAAGTTTGTTGCTCCTCACTTGCAATGTGGCTAGCTAATTAGCAGGTAGTTGGAAGTCAGATGGGATTTGTTGGTCTGGAGGGAGTTGTCCCACTTCTGAGAAGGGAGCAGACCTCTCTCTGAGATACTGCTTCCTTTGCTCATGGCTAAACGCTTCTCATGCACACCCCTCCTGACTTGGCTTGCTCTAGCGCAAGAGACTGTGCACGTCTGCAAGCCACTGTTCCCTTTCTGAGGAAACCGTGATGGGTCTCTTCTGAGCAGGGCCTTCAGCAGCAGAGATGGGGTGGCTCTGCTATGAGAGGGAGCACATCTTCCCCTGCACTTGCATCAAAGATGCAAAGTTTAACGGTTGACCGGGTACTGTTAGAACTGGTATAAAATCTGCCAAAGTGTGTATCTGAGCCTGAGTTCAAACTTTACTTGCAGCTGAATGTGGTGTTGCAGTAACTGAGCTTGTGAAAGCAGGTACATCTTCTGTGGTTTCACCAGTGCAAATATTCCGTAACAGTGATTAAATAACCTAGAAATTTGCATAATTTAAATCTCAGGTTTGTGAACTTGATTCAAAACTTTCTCCGGAAGAGGAGAAGGGAAAGGGAGAAACTAGTGGTAGTGAAGTAGGTGGGCTACATCTTCAGCTAGTAACAGTGGGTGGAAAAAATCAGTTAAGTGAAGAGCAATTCCCACCGGCCCTGAGCTGGTCAGCGCCCTTTCCAGTATGTGTTGACCAGGGAGTTTGTAATTGTAATTGTCAGGGAAACCGGTCTTGCCATCAACAATGGTTTTGTTATAGTAAAGACAGAAAGATTGAGTTCTTAATCAGGCTGAGCTAATGAAAACAGTTCCCAGCTGTTTAATTCTTGAGACCTACAATTATCTAAATGCATTACGTCTGCTGAACTATTTCTGCTTCCTATTTGGTTGTATAACATTAGCCAGCAAAAAATGCAATTACTATCTGAACTTGCGTCCTCTGAAGCCTAGTGTTCAAGACAAACAGTGGAAATGAGCATTTTAGTGAAGATTTCAGCGATGCCGACGTTTTATAGAACCTGTACGCTTTCAAAAGGCAGTCTGTTAGCCTGTAGTTTGTCAGCAACTGCTTCAAGAAGTTCTTGCATTTTCTTTGAGATCGCTGATTTTCTTATGCAGGACACGTGCTAGTGCTGCTTGAAAGAAAGGTGTTAGAAGTGGTAGCCATGAAAAGAACATAGCTGACGTGTTTTATGTTCTGTTTTTATAAAGGTGAGAAACCTTATCACTGTGACTGGGAAGGCTGCGGATGGAAGTTTGCCCGATCCGATGAACTTACTCGTCACTACAGAAAACACACAGGCCACCGCCCTTTCCAGTGCCAGCGGTGTGACAGAGCATTTTCCAGGTCGGACCACCTCGCCTTACACATGAAGAGGCACTTTTAATTGGAAGCAGTGGATCTTTCCCCAACTGCCATAGAGATTCAGTATTTACAGCATGAGGACTGTCTTTCACAAGATGGGGAGAGCACAGTTTAAGCACTACAGATAATCAAGGTGAAGTCTTCCAAAGAGTGGAAAGAGGGATAATTGCATACAGATGTTGCAACTTTGTTTTTATATATATGCATTTAAAAGAGAACCAAAAACGCTGGGGTCAGTGACTGGATCTTCTATCATTCCATTTGTAAATCCAACTTGAATTATTTCCGGACTACAAAATGCCAAGGAGTGACTGGAAGTCACGGATATCAGGGTTAAACAGACTGTGTAGTTCGGAGGGTGGGGATATTACACAGGGAAATTACATTCCCTTAATTTTCTTTCAATGCAATATTAGATGTAAATGTCATCTTGTACTTTACTTTTTTTTCCTTCTAAAAGCCATTACAATGTTAAAAGAGAAGGAAAAATTCAGGTACAGAATTATATTTTAAAAGCCTATTTCATGGTGCTTAGTGACTGTTGGTTCTAGAGGTACCAAAAACAGGAAGCCAAAGTTCTCAAACTGCTGCATATCTGACAAGGACATATTTTTGTCTTACAATGACCAATTATGACCTAAATCAGGTAAATAAACCTGGTTTATCTTTTTTTTTGGTTTTTTTTTTTTCTTCCTTAAGAAAATAACTTTATGCAGACAGTCTGTAATGCACTGTGGTTTCGATGTGCAATAGTTTGTACAATGGTTTATTCCCAAATATGCCTTAAGCAGAACAAATGTTTTCTATATAGTTCTTTACATAATAAATATGTAATATAAATTTAAGCAAACTTTATTTTGTATATTTGTAAACTACAAAGTAAAAAATGAACATTTTGTTGGAATTTGTATTTTGCATATTCAAGTGAAAAGTAAGTTCTAAATAAACCTATAATATTTTATCTGAACGGCTACTCTAATTTTCTTCTGTGCATGGAGATGTCCAAAGGAAGTTTATTAAGTACTTGTTAGTGGTTGAGTTTCCCAAGCCAAGGAGGGGGTTTGGCAGCAAAGGCTTGTAGTCTCGAGACTCTTGAGAGATAGGATTGTATAAGTGCAGTGCTGATGTAACACATTTTCAGTGCTGAAAATTTTTTTCTCTGAATATCGAATTGCCACCTGTCACCTGTATGATGAAACTGTAATTTACCTTGTTTTAAGGTAACTCAGTTTGAATTATTTGTTAGAGGAAAAGTATCTGTTGGGGAAATGCGACTTTGCAATGCCAAAGGTTACAAATTCTAGAAGGTTTTCTTTGTTTAGTAGTCTTTTCAGTGTGAAAAATCCTTGCTTTGTTTTCTTGATAAGCTGGTGTAACCACGTTAATGTTGGATGAAGGAAAATCAACCAAGTAATGTCTCAAAAGAATAAACTTTTGACTAAAGGAATAAAGAGTAGACATGTAAACCACATTTTGACAACAGGCTTTGTGGAGTTCCTTTTGAAACCTGCTCTGTCCTGGGAATTCGGTAGTTTGGCAGTATCTGAAGAGCCAGAATTCCTGTAGGAATCCTGGTATGCATGTGTATTTTGGGCAGGCTTGACCTTGCACAGCCTACAAACTCAAGGTGTGTTGCTGTAAGGTCCCCAGCATACTGCCCTGTCGCAGTTCAGTGCGGTGAGCTTGCTGCATGCCTCGGATCCTCACCGGTTATGTATAGCTGTCCTGAGGGACCTCTCTGTGCTAGCTGTTTTACTGATGTGTGGCACTAAGATGATTTCAAGGTGAATGCTTGATGAACAGGATTTTTTTCTTGCTGCACTCTGTAAAGAGCAGAAAGAAATTATTCCTTTTCCACTAGTTTAAAACGTCAGTCAGCTTCCTAGATATATGTAAAGTTCAACAGAGCTGAGCATGGAAAACAAATTACAGGCAGGAGCTATTCATATTTTTGCAGTAGTTGAAACGAGTGGCAGTATCAACTTTTTGTTCCCAAAAGTGCCTTAGGAATCCTATTAAATCTCACATTTTGATGTGCTCTTTGTGTGGTGGGTGGCTGGTGCTATTCCTTTCCAAAGTCCATGTGTAAGTAACATAATGATGCAGAATATGCTTCTCACCCCTTATCTCCTAGGCATGCTTTGTTCAACTGAAAGCTATCTTTGTTGGTTTGGTTTATAGGTAACACAGGGAGTAGGGAATGTCTTGTTTGGTTTGCAAATAGCAAGTATTTAAAGCTAATTTAAAGTTATGAGTCATCTTTTATCTGAAGGGTTTTTTCATGTGAAAACTTTTTACAATTAAACCAGTCATTTTTTACCTCCTCTGTTGCCTCTGCCTGCGGATTCTGGATGAGAGATCCAAGGTCAGCGTTGCAACTGGTGCAAACTGCGTGCCTGAAGCGTATTGTCCTGTCTCAATAACACTGGAGCACGTCAGTAGCTGCAGGATCACCTCTACCTGTACGGCTGCCATTCAGAACCTTTTAAATCTTGTTTATGCAAGGTCTACATCCTAACCCATTGTAAGTACTGAAATCTGAAGATTTCATATGAGAAAATAGTTTCATTTGCTTCTAAGTGTTCTGTCATTATGCAGCCTTAAGAATTTTCTAAGATGCTCTTATAAAATACTCTAGCATTTAGTAGCGCATTATCTGCTTAAGCCAACTTCAGTTTCTGCTTGATGATTTTATAGACCCTAGGTTTATAGTTGCACGAACAATGGCATTCTTGAACCAGGGCTTTGTTCTCTTCTCCCACTTGCCTTTATTTTTTTCCTCTTTTTTTTCCTGATCCTAACCAAGTTGTCCTCATGTATGACTTGCTTTCCAGACCTGAATGGGCAAGGTTGTAGCTTGGTATTTAAAAAGAAATGCTGCTGTTCCTTTAACCATTTCCAAAATGCTACTCCTATACTTTTGGGGTGGGAGCCAACTCTCAATTTTTGCTGTACGGCATGCAGCCTATGAGAGGCAGTCCTTGTTCTTAAGGAGGTCTCAGGGGGAAATACTGAATGAGCAGTTGCACCAGTTGCACTCTGGTAAGTTAGGTAGAGCTAGAAACCTCACGTTGTTTTCACCACCTGCTTCATTGTGTCTGTTGTATTGGAGTTCCACTTAGGTGCAAGATTGTACATGGATGCAGTGGAACAACACATGTATCAAAAAGCCTATCTCGTAAAACATATGTAAAACACCAGCAGTCTTGTAAGGGTGTCTTGAAAAACAAGATTTGTTTAGCGTTACTAAAGCTTTGTTCATGTGCTACTTTGCTCAGGCTGGGGCATCTAAAAACAGGGTTTGAGGTTATTAGGGGTGGCCTTTCTGACATGGGGTGAGCACCTCCAGAGCTGCCCCAGAGCACTGTTTTAGCTGCTGAAGGGAAAAGCTCTCTGGCAGAGAGTTATCTCTGCAATCAAACTACAGCCACCCTTAATCCTGCTCACCCCTAGCCCAAATCTCTCTCGAGCACACTTAATGTGAAGATGGAGCTGCTTAAAACAAGACGACACATGCCTGCCTACCAAGTGCCAAGTATTCAAAAGTGCCGTAGAAATGGAAGTCTTCTCAGAGCCGCAGTCCTTCTGTGCGCTTGTCTGCTACACACCACAGGCTGGAGGTTTGCACGCTTGAGACCTGGTTGTCAGTGGTGATCAAGTACAAATGCCTGCAGCTTTCCCCCGTCACATGAAGGTGTACTTGGGGGAGAGCTGCACTTCCCCCAAGGAGGTTACCAGATCCTGCCACTTCTGAAGTCAACTGCAGATCTCACACGGATTTATATTAAGCTGATATGAATCAGTGAATTTCATTTTCCTTCTCTGTAATAAGGGGAGATCAGAGACTCCTGCGGTTAATCACCCCGAGTGCTAACGGTTCAACCGAATTAGTTTACACAGGTTTCCTATGGGAGTGTGCTAGATGTTAGAGCTAGCCTACTTCCACTGAACTCCCTGGCAAACACTTTAACACCAGTTGCGTGCAAGAATTCCAAATTAACCCATTTGCAAGCTGTGTTCCTCTGTAGGCTTTCGTCCTTCCTGGGTGCGATTGGGTTGTGTACTCCAACGCAGCAGGAGAGTAAGAACAGGTTGCAAATGTGGATGGACAGACAAATAGTTGTACTATAAAGGGTCTGGTGAGGGTCTGGATGTGGTAGCAGTGCCAGCTAGAAGAAGTAAACCCAAGGTATGTTGAACAAAACACTTGGAAAGGAAGAGAAACACCACCACCATCACATGTTAACTTGTACTTGCCAGGAGAGCTCTCCAGGTTAAATAGCTGTGTGTAGGCTCTATGGATGTATCTCTGGAAACCAAGGAGATGAGTATGTACATAAAAGAGGGAAAGGCCCATCATTCACCGAAATTTAATTGAGGTCACATTGGCTTGGAGCCACAGGGTAACACACCCACATTCCCCTGTCTGCAGTACACCTGGATGACTCACGCTGCGTCTGCCCTTCACTCCCCAGTGCCTCACCGGGGGACATTTTCATTGCTGCTGAGGGCATTGCCCATTGCAGCATGCAAGTGGGTGGTGGTGGTGTTTCCGCTGCCTTGTTTTCCGCCCTGGCTGCATGTAGATGTCTGTTGGTCTCCTTTTCACCTTTGGGTGTTTACCTGTGAACCCTCAAGGCTAGAACTTTAATGGTGTGAAAGACAGGAGGGGGAAAGTGGCTTGTGCTTTATTAATGTTTATTCTATATTTAGAACATGCATGCCCAGAGTTTTACAGAAGATGAGTGGCCTTAGTGGCTGCTCACAAGAGGTAAAGGCAGCAGAATGTTTTCCTTTCAGTGATGTTTGCTGGACTCATGGAGCTGTGACTTCTTTTGTAACTGAGATGGTGATTTTCACATGGATTTTCCCAGGTCAAGGCAGGGTCAGCCTTGTGACGTGTTTATGAACAGGAAGTTTTAGGGAACACACCAACCTCCTTTCACTCTGGAGCTTGGGTGAGCAGAAGGGTAATCATGTGCTGCTATCACCGCAGCCATCTTGCTGCAACTCTGAGAAGTTTTGCATGGTTTTGCTTTGGGTATGGCACTCTTGTTTATCAAGCACAAGCTAAGGCTTGCTTAAATCTTGCCATTCAAGTTCTCCGCTATTAAACTTTCAGGCTTTATTCAACAAAATTATACAGCTTCCCTGTATTGGTTGGCTGAAGACCCTTAAATTTAGAAACAGGTATCCTGCACTTACTCAGAATTATTTCCCCTGCTGCTGCAGCAGTTAGAAACAGTCTGGTGGGCGTGCTGCACCACCAGCACACAGGGACTTTTTTCACTGGGTGCCTCCTCCATAGTGTTCAATGTCAACTTGGCGCATGTCCTAGTGTTGATGCCTTCATGGTTGTCGGGAGCAGAGGGTCAGGTCTGCTTTGTCCTCCCACCCCTCGAAAGGCGTGGAGAAGGCTACCTGATAACGGCTGGCCCTGGGTTGCCATGTGGAAAAACCTGACTCCCCAGGCT